CCAAAATGAGGAGTCATGAACATCGTTTTGTCCCTGGCCAGAAACACGAAATACTGAAAGCGAGTGGAGCTGCGGAGAACCCAAACTGGTTTGAAATCAAATCATGCTTTGTACCAGCCTCGTATCAGTTATTTCACCAGTGAGAAGAGAGCCTAGATGGCTCAACCTGCTGTCTGCTTTGTTGTGGCTAGGGAACAGAGAGCACTCAAATCTGTTTGGCTTCCCACTACAATAAAAGAATAATCAAGAGTCAGCAAAGTAAAATGCTGCAGTCCTTTGAATACAGAAGCCAGAGACTTGCCCTCTCCCACGAGCCCTAAAGCTAAGAATATGAGATAACAGAGACTGGCTTTTTCTTCTCCACTGTATTGTTCCAAAGCTTGAAAAATAGCAGTAGGCTGAGCAATGAGTCATCTGTCACTAGATGGGGTTAAAGTCATTTCCGTTTTCTGTTGCCATGGGGAAATCAACGTCCTAGAGACTTGTCCTTTCTCCCACTCAAATATGTGGGAGTAGAAAGCCTGAAACCCAACAGAGCTAAACATTTTTTTTCATATTATTCCTCCTCCCACCCTCCCTCCTCCCCCAATGAACAAACTTCCTCTATGGCCTTGTAGCTGTCAGTCTGTTCCCAGAATCATCCCGTTAACAATGTCATTCCCCTTGGATTGCAAATAAATAAATAAATAAATAAAAAATCTAGAAGCAGAGTTTAAGTAAATATTTGAATGAAGATGAGCTGAAAAATGTAGAGTTGCTTCATTTTATTCCTTTCTAGTGCTGTTTCCTATACATGCAGTGATGTGACAATGCTGGGTGATGCAATGCAACCCATCAAAAATAAAACTAAATATTTATTAAGCTAGTGTGCAGTAAAACAAAGTGATTACCAACATTCTGGATGTAGGTAACAAGGACACGAATGTGGAGACTGAGATAAATATTATTTCAAAGCTTTGCTAACATATATTTCATATGAGTAGCAGCAGAGCAGCACCTAGTGTTGATCATGGATATAGCTGAAAGTTAACATAATAATTTATTTAAGTCTGCTCAACCTGCATACGGCAATCTGATTCACACCTCAGTAAAACTGCTAAAATCAGTTCCTTAGACCTTCCTTCTAACTGCTTTTCAAAGGGCATCATCTTTCATGCATGGTGCCACAGCCAATATTAACAAATATCTTTACAGGAGTGCACTACTCCATTTAGTTTATTCTGAAAGTGATTATTACTACATTCAGTGCTGCCAAATGTATGCACCTAAACTAGTTTTAGAAGGAACCAAAAATGGTTACCATCTGAATTAAAAGTAAGACAGCTCCTAGTAGCTGGCTAACATTTCTGAATACACCATAGAAATTAACAACAATGACTCTTCGTTGGCAAATAGCTCAAAAGGTCAAGGAGTGAATGGACATGTAATGAGAACTACCCTCTTCTTTGGTGAGGCCTCATGAAAGCAGGACTGAGTCTGTTGATAGTCATATGGGAGAAATGTGCTCTTTCACTGTCTCTCCTGAAGTATTCTGGGAATAAAGAGAAACCTTAGCCTTACCGTATACTCAAGTTTGCACCTGTTAAACTAAAGGGGTACTATCAGCCACCTTAGTTAAACTTGTTCAGACCCATGTAGTCACTTATTTCACTTTTAAGAGTAGCTCATGCATTCGCTGTAGCTCTTTCCCACCTAAGCTAAACATTACAAAAGCAAGCCATGCACAAACCTTAATGTGCATCTCACAAACTTTAATTCATTAGATTTATTTAAAGCAGATTTAAAACCTCAGGTAGAATTTTGCCCCACGTTTTGTTATTCTGAAGTATCAGATTAAAAGGGAAAAAGACAGACTGGCAGACTGGCCTGTGTTTCATTAGCTTATAGCCGCTATTACATAGACTCTGCACCATCATTTCTATACTTCTCGAGTACAATAACATCCTTTGGGTTTCTCAAAACAAAATAAATCCATGAATGGCTCCCTTCCAAATCTAGTCCTGTCCCACAACACTCTGTGTGACAGAACAAATCTCTGCCATGTTTAATCTGATTGCTTCATTAGTTAGCCCTGTTGTGTAGGGTCTTGGAATGCTATTATATTTGACAGTAGGTATTTTTTTACAGCCCTAAGCTTGGATCATGCCTCAACATCCTGCAAAAGAGCTCACAGAGGGAAGGCACAGGGGCCAAGCAAAAAATATATATTAAAAATAATTATATATATAATTGGTGTCATCTGGGCAGGGTCCTGACTCCTAAACCCCACCAACCCCAGGAAGCTGCATGAAAAAGCTGAGTGGAGGCAGAGCCTTTAGCAGCAGGCCTCCAGGATGTGCTGCCTTCCTTCCGCCTGTCTGTCTCACCTCCTGCCACAGATAGCACCTTTTTGGAGCTTGTCTAAGTACCTCCTAACTTGAGGAAAGATACTGCAGAGAGAGGAGTCTCCAGGAGTTAATCCAACATAGTTTTCCTACTGCAAAACCAAAACCACTAAGCTGTCTGCTCTATATACTTGCATGCCAGGTTGCTTTAACCTTCAGATAAAAAGTTCAGTAAGAAGTCAAAGCATGACTCAGACCAAGGACTGCATTCTCGGTCAGCTACTGTGAGAAGGTCTCTCTTCATCAGGGAATGAAATACAACTCTGATTACCAAACAACGGCAAGGAAATATGGAATGTGAACCATTCAAGTCATGAGAAAGGCATTACAGTGCATATTGGAAACACACCGCCAAAACCAAGATCAGAGCACTGATCAAGACATTCACACTGCCCTAACTGAATTAGATTGGAAGCACTAAGTAATACTAAGCTATTAGGCCTTCTTTCTTCACTCCACATGCATGAAATTACATTTTAAAGTTGTGTATGACCTTTCAAAGTCCTAGGGTGGGAGGTACTTAACAATGAGCATCTGGCCTCCCTGTTTTTTTACTCAAGAATATGAAATCATTTTGCAAGTGCCTTGCTCTTTAAAAACGAACAACAGAATTTTCCTTGTATCACTGTATTGACTTCCATATCAAACGGAGATTAAAATTAATTTAATAGAGGCTACATTGTGCAAATTGAATAAAAAATGCCAGGCCTGCTAATAGTAATTTAATTAAACAGGAGTTGTACTAATTTGTGATCAAGAAAGTCCATGCTTTATAAATAAATGCACTATGCACAGCTGGTACATAACTTAGTTTGATGCCAACCTCCTCCACCCATAACAACTTAGTGATGTGAATATCATGAAGACAAATAGACTCAAACTCAAAGTTCAGTTTCATTCTGTATCCTTATTTCCAGATCTACTGGGGGTACTCTCACATGTAGTGCCCTAAGATAGCTTGACATGAGTTTTCAAGTATTGAAAGCATCCAGCCATGCCAACACAGAGCTCTGTGCTACCTATGTACCCTGCTACAGTGGCGAAGTCGCTGCAGTTCCTAATGTTCCTGAGATCATCGGCTATCTGGGGATAAATGTCTACACAGGTTGCACTACAAATGGTGCCCCATTCCACCTTGACTTGGTAGGGACAGATTGTCTGGCCTGCTTCAGTCCCTCTAAACCATCAAGGCAGTGGCTGGACGGCTCCCACCCACTCTTAAACCCACAAGGGCGGGGCCTCCCGCCCCCCAGCCACTTCTTGGCAACTCAGAATTTTCCCACCATAGGAAACAGCTGGCACAAAACTGGCACAGGCCTCCTTTCCCCTCTTGGCCCCAGTGTAGGGGATGCACCAACAGCAGGAGGAGGTCCAGCACTCTAATTCCTAGCTGGTGGACAGCCAATATAGGACTGTTACCAGCTGTGGTAGTTTGGAACAGCGAGGCCCAGAGTAGGGCCAGCCAGAGAATTAGGAAGCTACAAATGGATGATTTTCAGCCCTGCTGATCCGTACTGGGCCAAGCAAGGATCAGACAAAGTAGTGAGACTGAACTTGCAGTTGGTTCTTGTCAAAAGCAAGCGACATCCTCTGGTTCAACAGGATGGACAAATAGTTCCTTCCTCACCTATGTAAGAGCGCTGCTATCAGATGATGCCCTTGCTGAAGTATCACATAACTACGGCAGCTCTCCAAGGATGGCACACGCTTGAAATGAATTCAGCCATTATCAGCAGCATGCAGTGATGGCTCAGGCATTACACATGATAAAGTGCATAAAAAATAATTGCTTTAGTTCTTTCAATCAAAATATATTGGCATGGCTGGTACAGGAGAGGTGGGCTCCTGTCTTGTTAGCAGCTTTGTTTTTGTGACTTATTAGAGGTCTCATCCTGTTGCCATTGAGCTCAAAGGCTTTTTTGCCCTAGAAACAGTGCACACATTTTCCAAAGCCCTTCTTCTTTCCTATGCTCAAAGCTGAATTTTAAATTTGATATTTTAGAAGATCAAAAGATAGAAATAGCGTTAATTGTGCAACACACTTGATTTTAAAACTGAAACAAGCAAAATTCCCAAATGATGGTTTTTTTGCTACAAACTACATGTTCAAAAATAACTACAGCTGGGGTGAGTGTGGTCATGTGCACAGAGATACATCTGTGTTCTGTGTACGCTGATCTATTGGACACAAAGGATGTTGGGTTTCAACTTGGCTCCAATGGACAGGTCAGGATTGGAAATGACAACTACAGTCCTGGCCAGCAAGTTTCTGGCTTTCCATATAATAGGAAGTGGTCACTCCTCATGGGAAGACAAGAGAGGAGCAATTCAAAATGACTGGCTAGAAACTTCTGCAGCTGAAAGTGGACTGGAATGATTCTTTGGGGAGAAAAAATATTATAAACACACAAATACACATGCATACTATTGCACAGGTTATGGGCCTGCTTTAATTCAGTACAATATGTAGGGATATTTAGATAATCAAATAATGTTTACCTAGCATGATTAAACATCAGCTCATGTCATGACGACAGTCTCTAAGAAAGTTCTGTTTACGACGAAGTGTTTTAGTTTTAATCCTTGCTGTGACTCTAGCAGAGAGGGACTCCAAGAATGAAGAGCTTATATGAGGTTACCGGATGGGTACTTATTTCCTTTGGGATTACAAGCATTTTTTCTGGAATTTTGGCTTTTTTTCCTGCTTTTTCTTACAAGCCTTGGTTTGTTGGCTGGAGTGTTCGAATCGCCTGTCCCATCTGGAATGGAGCTGTGGTAGGCAGAACAAAATGTTATCGGAGAAAAAAAAGTTACTGAGATTCAATTTGAGTTATTGAGGTTCCTTTTCTTCTTTCTTTCTAATTAATATAAATTCTTTTTTTTAGCGATGTCCTTGGAGTCAAATGAAATTATATACAGGAGCTTCAAAAGATTTAACTTTGCAGTAAATATTGGCATATTGATTGTTTCATGATGGTTTCAGTCAAAAACTTTTGCTTTTGGAACAAAAACAAAACATTCACTCTGGACCTATTTCCGATTGCAGTTACACTTGTATAAAATGTGACTTAACATTACTAGAGCAGTGTTGTTATAATTGAGATAAATATGGTTCTCTTTCCCAGTAATCAGCTGAGGAGGGGGTTCCCCCCAAAGGTTCGTTCCCCTTCAGTTTCAGCAAAACCCTCCTTCTATTTTATGTTTTAAACAATAAAATCAGAGATATACATGTGGGACAAAGTTTAAGAAGGAAAAAGATTATGCAGCTATAGTCTAATGAAACTTTCATCATCGTTTAAGAATCAAGCTTCTGACCTGATTTGTGCCTCCTAACTGAAGTCATCTCAATGCACAGTGTAAATTAGAGCAGAGGTGCATAACGTATTGGTAGGGTTGCCTGTAAAGGGTTAACAGACCTAGCTGGTCTTGCTGCTAGGGTGGAGTATAAAGGAAGGGGAAGCTGGGCCAGAAGGGGAATTAAGGGAAGGGTGGGTCTTCTCCCCTTCTGGATGGTTGAAGTGGGGAAGGTCTCTCAGGAATTATCATCCAGTGGTTTTCTGTTCATTTGATTTTGTTTTTATGATTGTTTTCAGGATAATAACCCAGCCCTGAGGAAAGGGCTTTAAACAGAGCCAGGTTTGGAAGCTGTATTTCCATACTTTGGCTGGTGAAATCACGCACCAGTTTCTAATCTCCATGTTACAGAATAGAGGCAGCTATGGCCACTCAGTCAAAAGTATGTTATTTTCATGGTCCCCTTAAATTTGTCAAAATTAGTGAAGATACTTGGATCCAAATATATATACTATACACATCTAAACTGTGGGCCAGACCGCCCGAGAATGCCATTCCTTATAGCTAGCATAATCCTGTCCTTGGCACCAGCTTTTAATTGCAATTCCAGGGACTGCTTTCCTTAAAACTTTGCCATTGACAGGACTGAAACATGTACAAATGATATTTCTAACATAGCATCTGGTTCACTAAAGGTGCCATGCCTATTTTTTCAGCTGCTCACCCCTTCTTGGATTTGGTACACTCTATAGAGAGACGTGCAAGAACAGAAAGCAGTTTCAATTTAGCAAATTAAAACCAATAAGTGTTCCTAATCTAAATCCCATTTCATCTGAGTCTCTAAAACCCCCCCAGCTTTGCCTCGCATTTGTTCCCACAGCTCCTTGAATTACTTATCCCATTTTCCTACTGAAAGACCACATTTTTTTAGCAATATTTAAGCAGGGCTTCCCGTTGCCTGAAAAGGGAGTTCAGTTTTAAAAAGCAGATGGAAGAAGACAGTTTTGTGTCTAGCTGGCAATGCTATGGCCAAATTTAAATGAACACATGAATTGTTACATGAATGAGTAGATGTGCTGCAGTGAGCAAGATCCTGTATCATGGTAATGGAAAGTAATGCAAAGAATTCTTGGGTTTGGCCCTGCCAACTTCCCTAAGAGCACCTCATTCATCTTATTGTACAGCCACAAGCAGTGTGCGCTAAAGAATACGCAGTGATAGAAGTGACAAATGTTGACAGCAGCTCAAGGAACAGGGTAACCTGTTGAAAATAATTTCCTAAATAATACCACATCACGTGCTTTTTGTGCATTACAGATATAGATTTAGGCTGCATTTAGCATCTGAGGTCCAAAGCTTGCTTCCTCCTGATGAAGTCAGTGGAACTTTGCCATTAAATACAGTGGGACCAGGATTTACCTGTCATGGATTAAGAGCCAGATTAATTAATTTAGATACTGTCACAAGCCCCACTAGGGTCTGGAGGTTCATGGGGTGTCATGCAGATTTTCTGGTGTTCATTTCACCAATATGGCATGTGTGGTCTTGTTGGAAACCCAGTGCTATGCTGCATCCATTTATACTGTTTGTATCATTAGACAGATTATGTTGTGCTGTCTATATGTATCTTGGTCATAGTTTAATCAATAGAATAGAGGGATGTATAATTAAAGATAAGAAAATAGGTGTAACTGCTAAGTCTTTCTTGCTATTGACATGAGAGCAAGGAAATTGCTACTCCCGGACACAGGCAAAAGGAGACATTATTGAGCTGGGCACCCAAGGCACTGTCTGCCACTAATGGGGAAATCAACTACTCTATAGCAAAAGCATCTAAGAGAAATGGCTCATCAAGCAGAGGAATGCCAGGTGTCCCATGGAGAGAAATGTCTGGAGGAGACCCATGAGGAATTGGGACAATACTGAGGGTTGGGGGTAGGGGGAAGAGTTTGGAAAGAAGAGAAGCAAGGAAAATAGAGGGGAGCTGGCTCAGAGGTCTTTGGATTTTTCCCAGGCTGGAGAAGGGTCTAAGGCCCCAGCAGCCAAGGCTGACAAAAAAAAAATCAGCAGAAAGGAAGGCTGATTTCTGGAGATACTGGCAGGACACTCAGAGAGCTAGGGGTGGTAGCTTATTGAGAGGGTAAGAAACTTTACATGGCATTTTTGTTCTCCCTTCCAAACCCATGAGCAAGTTTTCTTGTATAATACTCTTCTTCTACAGAGTAAATGCTTTTGTTGTTTGTCTCCTTATTGACTGCCTGTAATAAGGGGGGTCTCCGAGGGGCAGTCCAGGCTAACCCCTTCTATGGAAAGAAAGACCTGAAATGTCTTCCACAATGCAAAAGCAAGGCTGGCAGAAATTCCCCTGCCGCAGCTGTGCGGTCCATTATACAGTCAGTGGAGCAGATGCTTATGGGGAGAAGGAGTTATCGCAGGGAAAACCTTGGTCTGTTCCCTGGGACAAGCAACAGGACAGTGGGGAGAGACTCAGCGCTAGGGGTACTCTGCAGACAGGTGGGGCAAATATCACTGACTTTTCTAGAGCCACGTATCAGGTGCTGCTCAATCCCAACGACACTTACCAATCAGAGCCTATTGGTATTTTCAAAGTGCTTTAAGCACTGGTTGTGTCTTTCAGCAAATGGCATCCTCATCTATAAGGTGACACACTGCCGTTCTGCTCTAGCTGGGTTAATACGCTGTTCC